TCGGAAGATATGTTGTATGAATGTGTCATGTATGTTTGGAGAGGATCTTCATTTTATAGCCTGTCTGATTCTGGAACACAGATTTATTTTTGTGTTATCCTCTTCTGAGAAATCCATTTAGGTTTCTTTCGGATAAGCTTATAATTTATTTTATCAGAATTTTCTTGCTGTAACTAATGGGCAACTTTTAGCTTTTACAAAACATAGAAACTTCAGTTTTGGGCATAGAAGTGTAGAAGTTTATAGAACATGGTTGGCGGATTATGATATTTTGAATAAATGATTGGCCTCTAATTGGTCCTGTAAAGAGCCTTGGATTTGTTTAAAATATTTTATACCGGTTATCATTTCAAATTCTTTTCCTTTTTATGATATAATAGGTCTTAAGGAGTATATCGAAGCAAACCCAGCATTCAAGCATGAAACTTCTGCCACAGTTGTCAATTCAAGGTTGTCAGATCTTTCAACTAGTGAATATGAAGATGAAGATGCGGAGGATCAGTTCTATGACGCCACAGACTCCTCCTCAGATGATGAGGAAAGTGATGAGGATGACGACGAACAGGAAAAAAAGGTAAGTTGATTTTGACTTTTTTCTCATACAACAAAATTTATCTCGGTTTATTCGCCTTTTGCTTAAAGTTCCTGGTGAAAAAAAATTGTGTGCCATGAGTCCATGAGTGGTGTAAATTGTTTGCAAATCCATTGTAATTAACAGAGGATTTCTGTTGCTTCGTTGTTAACAGGAGATAAAAGTGAAACTGAAGAATGTATCCTGGGCAATCGCTAGCTTATCTTTGAAGCAGCCTAAAGGTTCTCTATCGGCTTTTACCTAATCCATTTCGATTACCATTTGTCTTACATTAGCAGTCTAACGGATAAATGCTGCTCATTCATAAATCACTGAAGTGGCCTAGTGGTCCTCTGAATGCTTTAGAAAAAAATTACTTATATGCAAGACACTGTTAGTATATACTGGGTTAAAATGAAACAAGGTATAGAATTCCCTACA